AGGTATAAAGAAGGCTAGACTTGTCTTTTCCTATCAGCTCTCACAGACATTTGCTTCCTCCTCTTAAAGCGTACTTTTCCTTCTCTCCAAACTTCCTGCCTTCCAACTATCCCCCTATATAAGCTGGGGAGCCTATAGGCTCCCAGTTCTGAGTATACTTTGATTTCCTTTTTAAAATTTTTTTTATTTTTTATTTTATTTTTTTAAAAAGATTTTATTTATTTATTTGAGAGAGAGAGAATGAAAGACAGAGAGCACGAGAGGGAAGAGGGTCAGAGGGAGAAGCAGACTCCCTGCCGAGCAGGGAGCCCGATGTGGGACTCAATCCCGGGACTCCAGGATCATGACCTGAGCTGAAGGCAGTCGCTTAACCAACTGAGCCACCCAGGCGCCCTACTTTGATTTCCTTTAACAGCATAAATGAATGTGTTCCACGTTTTTCCCTGTGTGCCCAAGCCAGTCCTCCAGCATTTCCTTTACACACCCACCCAAGCTTGTTCCCTTATATCAGCTTACCTGACAACCCGCCAAAGAAACTGACCTGATAAATTAATATGAAGATGATCTGCACTTTTAGTAAAGATATATGGAGGCGTCTGTGGTCCAGAGTGGTAAGCAAATCCCTGTTGCTCTGATTTCCATGAAAAGCTTGGTGGGGTAGGAGCTATTTTTGAGAATGGAGTCATGTCTGACATTTCTCAAATGATGCCCTGAGGATTTCCACTCACAGATAACATTTGGTACAGCTACCCCTCAAATACTTTTGCCTGAAGGAGGCAGGATGACTAAGTAAAATAACATCCACCAAGAATCTCAAAACTCCAATGAGTACAGCCTCATTTTGCTAACATGATCTCAAATGTGTCCGTGTGTGCTCTGTCTCGAAACCCTTTCCCTTCCCATGAACTTTCCTAGAGAGCAGTGAAACGATGGGATTAAAAAGATGGAGTGATTAAATGAAATGAGATATCCTGAATTGGATCCTGGAACAGAATAAGGATATTAATGAAAAAACTAATAAAATCCAAATGGAGTCTGTAGTTAATAGTGTTGTGCCAGTGTTAATTTCTTAGCTTTGGCAAACATACCATGGTTATACAAGATATTAACATTAGGGAAAGTTGGGTGAAGTGTATACAGGAACCATCTGTACTATTTTTGTATCTTTCTGTAGATCTAAAATTATCCCATAATAAAAAATTTACTTTTTTTTTTAAAGATTTTTATTTATTTATTGAGAGAGAGAATGGTAGAAAGAGAGCATGAGAGGGAAGAAGGTCAGACGGAGAGGCAGACTCCCTGCTGAGCAGGGAGCCCGATGCGGGACTCGATCCTGGGACTCCAGGATCATGACCTGAGCCAAAGGCAGTCACTTAACCAACTGAGCCACCCAGGCACCCCTAAAAAATTTACTTTTTAAAAAAAGATTTTATTTATTCATTTGAGAGAGAGAGAACACATGCATGAGCGGAGGAGGGGGCAGAAGGAGAAATAGACTCCCTGCTGAGCGGGGAGCCAGATGTGGGACTTGATCCCATGACCTGAGCCAATGGCAGATGCTTAACTGACTGAGCCACCCAGGTGCCCCTAAAAAATTTATTTTTAAGAAAGGTGAAGAAAGAAGAGAATCTAAGACATAATCAGCCTCTATTCAAGGAATGCCTGTATTCCAACAACACTCGATATAAAATCTTCCTCCAACTCATTCACAGCAAGGTGAACTGGCATTCCAGTGTTTTAGCAACATTGCATCTTACATAATTATTAAAAACAGGGTAAAAAAAGTAATCCTAAAAAAGTTAGACAAGTAATCATTAACAACACTTTAGGGAAAATATACCTATATTGATTTATTATTTTTATTTATTTTTTTAAAGATTTTATTTATTTATTTGAGAAAGAGAGAGAATGAGAGATAGAAAGCATGAGAGGGAAGAGGGTCAGAGGGAGAAGCAGACTCCCTGCTGAGCAGGAAGCCCGATGTGGGATTCCATCCAGGGACTCCAGGATCATGACCTGAGCTGAAGGCAGTCGCTTAACCAACTGAGCCACCCAGGCGCCCTGCTTATATTGATTTAGATTACAGGTATGGGAGGAAAAATTATCCCAAGAATTGCTTTTGTAAAAACTTGAGGATTTAATCAAACCATCACTTGAGGTACCTTGGGGAATAAGTCTGAGAAAAGGCAGGGAGACTTATGTTTTTGACTCTGTGTATTTTTGTATTGCATGACTTTTTTTTTAAACAGTGAGAATGAATTATTTTTGCCATTTAAAAAACAAATATATACAGTTTTAAAGATTTTATTCTTAAGTAATCTCTACACCCAACGTGGGGCTCAAACCTCCAACCCTGAGATCAAGAGTCACATGCTTCAACTGAGCATGGAAAAACTGAGCCAGCTAGGAGCCCCAACAAATATATATATTTTAAGTAGCAGTTTATATACTATGAGGAAGAAATAACTATATTTGAAATGGAACACCAGAGGGGTGCCTCAGTGGTTCAGTCATTAAGTGTCTGCCTTCGGCTCAGGTCATGATCCCAGGGTCTTGGGATCAAGCCCCGCATCCTGCTCAGCAGGAAGCCTGCTTCTCCCCCTCCCACTCCCCCTGCTTGTGTTCCTTCTCTTGCTTTGTCTCTGTCAAATAAATAAATAAAATCTTTAAAAAAAATAAAAATAAAAATAAAAAAAGAAATGGAACATTGTAATTATAAAATAAAAGAAATGCAGTAATCAAAAAGAAAGAAGAGGGAAGTAATATGGAAGGAAATATGTACAAATGTTTATAATGTTTATATATGATGGTAAGATGAATTTTTTTTTTGGTTGTCAAATGATCCTTTATTGAAACATTTTCCTTTGTAGTTAACTAGCCGGGCATTCCAGCGCACCACTGTTGATGTCATCTATGATGTCATGAGGGTGGCAGCCATCTACATTGCAGCCCACAGACTGGGCAGTCCCCAGGATCTCTTTAATGGTTCCAGAGAGTTCTCTCGCTAAAGATCGGTGTCTCATCTGTCGGGCAATATTGACAATCTCATCAAAAGTGATATTTCCACTGTGCTTAATGTTTTTCTGCTTCTTTCTGTCTCTTGGTGGTTCCTTGAGGGCTTTGATAATCAGGGCAGAGGCAGAAGGTACCACTTCAATCTGGGCCTGTCTGTTCTGAATGGTCAGTTTCACCGTAATCCTTAGACCCTTCCAATCACCGGTTGCCTTGGCGATGTCATCACCAACCTTTTTTGGAGACAGACCCAGCGGGCCTATCTTCGGGGCCAGGGCAGACGTGGCACCGACTTCGCCACCGGTGCACCTCAGGTACACGACTTTGATCTCGTTGGGGTCGAACTTAGGCGGCATGGCGGAGGCGGCTGGTGTCGGATGAACCCGGATTCGGGACGACCGAAGAAAGTTGCACCTTTGCCTCCCCGAGCCGAAAGCCAAAAAAGTGTAAGATGAATTTTTAACTTTTGTATTTTATATGCTCTGTAGTCAACATGCAGTTTTTCTTTACTAGGAAAAATAAAAATAAAAATTACAACCTTTACATACATGTATTTATCAATTTTTTTTGTACAAGTATTATGACATATGTCCCTATGTGGCTCTTTAAACTTGAGGAAATTGTGAATTTTAAAACATGTATCCTAAACTATCTTCAGAAAAAATCCTACATTAAAAGAAACAGGCTGCAAGAACTTGGCCACTGATGCACTGGTTTGGTTTCCTTTTCAAAGTTATTTAGAAAAAATATCTAGCTGTGTACAAGGGCGGCCTTCCAAAATACTAGGAGTAATGACCAGGGAGATACTATTTGAATATTCCTGTTAAGCGTCTGAAACCAAACATTTAATAACTATTCTCTTTCCTTCTTTTTCTTTTTTTAATAAGTGTTTTCAAAAGAAAATCTTCAAACCTCTGGCTTCTCTCACTGTGGCTTCTTTTCTCATCTCCACTTGAATATCCCTGAGGCACCACAAACAAAACAAACCTGAAATAAAATCCAACGTCATAAAGCCATCAAACTCCCAGACTTCTCCTCCCACCTTCCCTGGAACTGAAAGCAGGGTTTGAGTATCACAAAAAAAAAAAAAATCTGATCTGGAGGAGATTTCACTTAGCCTAGGAGGGTGCTTGGGCCAGGAGGGTCACATTCTCAGAGCTATGTGGAATATACACAACCAGGCTGGAGAAGAAGAAAGTTCTCAAGAAAAGCAGTGTGACAGCATTAGCTCTTAGAGCAGAGAGATTAGCAGCCAGAGTGTCACCTCTGGAAAAGGAGAGAGCTGGTGAAAACGGATTTGTAAGAAAGTTTGCTCCATAATACTCTGCCTCCCCCAGCCCCACCTACAGTAACACTCTATCCTTATTCCCAAAGCTTCTAAAAAAGCAGACTGCCTGGGGGCACCTGGGTGGCTCAGTGGGTTAAGCATCTGCCTTGGGCTCAGGTCATGATATCGGGGCTCTGGGATTGAGGCCCATGTCAGGCTCCCTGCTCAGCAGGGAGCCTGCTTGTCCCTGTCCCTCTGCCCTTCCCCTGCTCGTGCTCTCTCTCTCTTAAATAAATAAATAAAATCTTAAAAAAGGGGGGGCATGCCTGGGTGGCTCAGTAGGTTCAGTGTCTGCTTTCAGCTCGGGTCATGATCCCAGGGTCCTGGGATCAAGCCCCACATTGGGCTCCCTGCTTGGCAGGGAGCCTGCTTCTCCCTTTGCCTACCATTCCCCCCTGCTTGTGCTCTCTCTCTGTCAAATAAATAAATAAAATATTAAAAAAAAAAAAGACAGACTGCCTGGGTTTGAAATCTGACTCCATTTACTGGCTATTGGTAAGTCTACATACCTCTCTATTCATTGATTGCCTCATCTGTAAATGGCATATGGTTATGTCTACTTTATGTGGGTTATGAGAATTAATTGAATTAATCCTGTTCCATAACTGAAATAACATTTAGATGGCTACAATAGTTATCAACTTGTTTTTCCTTTTCTCAGGATATTCTAGCCTTGATGTCTTTCACAATGGTGCCAGAGAGGCGTCTGGGTGACTCAGTCAATTAATCATCTGCCTTCAGCTCATGTCATGATCTCAGGGTCCTGGGATCACCCCCCTTCCAGGCTCCCTGCTCAGTGGGGAGTCTGCTTCTCCCTCTCCCTCTGCCCCTCCCCCCTGCTTGTGCTCTCTGTCTCTTTCAAATAAATAAATAAAATCTTTTTAAAAAATAGTGCTAGAGAGCCTCTAAAATACAGACCTGTATGCATTAATCCCCAGCTGAAACCCCTTTGAATAAGGTCAATAGTCACCCTTTGTTTCCAACTGAACTGTTTTTTTTTTTTAGGTTCTAATATTTTATCCAAATTTTACTTTATGTTAGTTAGAGCATTGGAAAGGAAGGATCTAATTCCACACAAAATGTAAGACTCTAAAAAGTACCCATTAAACTACTGAAAAATAAACCGAGTGGCAAGAATATAAATAGAAATCCAATTTAGATTCCGAAAGACATCACAACCTGATTACAGTCACAGAGACTGTTCCTGCTTGCAGCTAGAAGTCTTAGAAGCTGTTTCATCTGGTGCAAGGGCAAAAAAACACAACATGAAAGGTAATTAAGTCCTGAATTATTGGTTTCATCACATCCAGCTTCTCTACCCCAAAATGGCACATAAAAAACCAGCTACTGTGCACTGAAGACTATTTCTGGTGTAAAAAAGGTGTGGACTGGGGTGGAAACAGGTCGTGAAAATCTGTCTAAAGTCTCTTTCAGGGGCGCCTGGGTGGCTCAGTTGGTTAAGCGACTGCCTTCGGCTCAGGTCATGATCCTGGAGTCCCAGGATCGAGTCCCACATCGGGCTCCCCGCTCGGCAGGGAGTCTGCTTCTCCCTATGACCCTCCCCTGTCTCATGCTCTCTCTCTCTATCTCATTCTCTCTCTCAAATAAATAAATAAAATCTTTAAAAAAAATAAATAAAGTCTCTTTCAGGGACACCTGGGTGTCTCAGTGGGTTAAGCGTCTGCCTTTAGCTCAGATCATGATCCCCTGGGATCTAGCCCTGTGTCGGGCCCCTTGCTCAGCAGGGAGTCTTCTTCTCCCTCTCCCTCTGCCCATCCCTCCCCTTGCCCCTGCTTGTAGGTGCTCTCTATCTCAAATAAATAAATAAAATCTTAAAAAAATAAAGTCTCTTTCAGATGAGTTAGTACACAACATCAAACAACAAGCCTCTCCTCCTTTAGGGTAGGAAACCAAGGTTTACCTCTCAGGAAGTCAGAATTTTATTCATGTACTCAATACCAATTTACAAATTGCCTATAAATTATCAGCTTCCACTAGGAGCCATTTCTAGATAAAAAAAGAAATATGACATCTCTATAGGCCACCAAGATCCCCTCAAGTCTACAGCTCAAAGTACCTTTTTTTGGAACTGGGTTTCCTCTGTACCTCTGAAAGGGTAACACCTTAAAGCAGAATCATCTTTAATCTGGAGGCCTAACATGATATTTAGCAATACTGCATCCCAGAAAAAGGTGACTAAATTCTGAAGGTAGCTACCCTGCAAAATAGTTTAAAATTAAACGGTTGCACAGTATTCAATTATGCTTGCATTCCAGGCCTAGACCAAGCTTGTGGCCACCAGTGTTGACAATGTTGCCACCCAGCAGAGCTGACAGTGTCAGTCCGACACCCCTGGCTTTAGGGTCTGAATATATCCTAAACCCATCAGGCTGGAGTTGTTCACTTCAGTCGGGAAATGGGCATCAGGGTCCATCTGATACTTGGTTGCTATTCCGACGTGAGTGTTACTAGTTCCTGCTGTCCAGACCAGATGAACATTAGTCTCCAACTTCTTTTTTAAAGATTTTATTTATTTATTTGACAGAGAGAGAGACACAGAGAGAAAGAGGGAACACAAGCAGGGGGAGTGGGAGGGGGAGAAGCAGTCTTCCCATGGAGCAGGGAGCCTGATGTGGGGCTTGATCCCAGAACTCTGGGATCATGACCTGAACTGAAGGCAGACACTTAGCGACTGAACCACCCAGGCGCCCACCTTCTTGTTCACCTTCTGATAAATGGAGCCACTAAACTCTATCCTGTCATTTACATTAGTGTGAAGTTGCAGTTCATCAGTCTTGTAGCCAACTGCAAAGTTGCTCTGGGTCCCCCCAGATTTTGTGGTCTCAGAATTCATCTGGGAGCTAGCCAACCAGCCAGCCAACCTTCTTGACCTGGCACCTGAGCATCCCAGACTGACGGCCCAGTCATGTAGAAATCCACATCCAGGCTGATACACTCTCACTTATGCTCTGTCCTGATTTTAGCATCCCACACCTTTATCCCCCACCCCCAGCATCCTGCCCCTATCCCCCATATTTAGTGAGAGGATGAATCAAAAGTCAGCTTCAGTCCACATGCAAGCTGATCTTCCACAAAGATCTCCATGCCTCGTGTGTTGGCAGTGTTCCATTTCTCCACAGACATCAGACCATGTTTGGTGCATCTGTACTTGGTTTCCAGGCTAACCCTCACCTTGGTGGTTGGTCTCAGTGTTGGCAAAACCTAAGCTTGTACACTCCAGTTCATTCTCAGATTTTTCTTTCTTTCTTTTTTTTAAAGATTTTATTTATTTATTTGACAGAGAGAGACACAGCGAGAGAGGGAACACAAGCAGGGGGAGTGGGAGAGGGAGAAGCAGGCTTCCCGCAGAGTGGGGAGCCCGATGCGGGGTTCAATCCCAGGACCCTGGGATCATGACCGGAGCTGAAGGCAGAGGCTTAACTGACTGAGCCACCCAGATGCCCCTCAGATTTTGTTTCCAAATCAGGTTTTATGAAGCCAAATCCATAGCCCTTGGTGAAGACATCCCTGGCAAATTTGCCAAGATGAGCATTCATGGGAGGCACAGCCATCCCTGGCTCATGGGTAGTGGTGTCAGGCTGGGTAGCATGAGCAACAGAGCCCCAACTCAACTTCTGATCCTTAAGTCCTGCTACTTCCCACCCACCTACAATGCTCACACACCTGGTACTGGCATGACTCCAGGCCTCTCCTTATGTTCTCTCCTTTCTCTGGATATTCTCTCTATTATTCTTTTTTTTTTTTTAAAGATTTTATTTATTTATTTGAAAGAGAGAGAGAATGAGAGAGAGCACATGAGAGGGGGGAGGGTCAGAGGGAGAAGCAGACTCCCTGCTGAGCAGGGAGCCCGATGCGGGACCCGATCCCGGGACTCCAGGATCATGACCTGAGCCGGAGGCAGTCGCCCAACCAACTGAGCCACCCAGGCACCCCTCTCTATTATTCTTTAACTAATGAGTTGCTATTAAGCCTCAAGACACTAATAAAACATTTTCTCTTCTGTAAAGTCTTTCTCAGCAATCCTAGACAAAAGTGAGTCACTTCCACTTCTTTGTTTCCATTCCGCTTGGTATGTAGCCCTGCATTTCTAATTGACAGGTTAGGCAGGAATTATGTGTTTATGGGTCTATCTTTCTCAGTAAATTGTGATCTACTCAATGACAGGGACTGCTCCTAATTCTGTTTGTCCAAAACCACAGCCACATCCTTGGCACATCAAAGATGTTTAATAACAGTGTGATGAGTGGATGAATGAGTAAATGGATTAGTATAACACCTCAGGTGACATCTACTTTGATAGGACGGTGAAGACAGGAAAGTGGTGACAAGTTCCACCACTTGTAGCCATGTGACTGGGCAAATTTCTGACTTTCCTTGCCTTGGTTTCCTTATCTATAAAGTGGTGACAATAATACCTTTCTAGGGCGCCTGGGTGGCTCAATTTGTTAAGCGACTGCCTTCGGCTCAGGTCATGATCCTGGAGTCCCTGGATCGAGTCCCACATCAGGCCCCTGCTCGGCAGGGAGTCTGCTTCTCCCTCTGACCCTCCCCCCCCATGTGCTCTCTCTCTCAAATAAATAAATAAATAAATCTTTTAAAAAATAATACCTTTCTAGCTGTTTGAATTAAATAATAAATGTACAGTGCTTGGAGGAAGGCCTGGCACATAGTAATGATTCTATGTGTATTAGTTATTATTGTTGTTATTGATCATGGATAATCACTATAAACTCCATGAGAGGTGGGGACTATGTTTTGACTTACCATTTAATTCCTAACTGCCACAGTGCTTCATATACAATAGGCACTCAATAAAGACTTTTTGAATAAATATCAAAATAATAAAAAAGATAACAAAAGAGAAGGGAGTAAAAAAAAAAACCCACACAGGGTAAACAGGGGTGCACTTGGCACAAAGCACAAAGATATTGCCAAGTCACCTCAGGTCCTCAACACTGGGCTGGATGACGGGGTGGCCCTGAAGTTTCAACCTCGCAGGAAGTTTGCACATCTCATTCACAGTGCTCTCTCTAAAGACATTGAAAGGGAAAGGGATGCTATATACAAGGAGTGATTTAATAAGACACTAAGAGCCAGGGAAGCCTGCTTTTTCTTCTGTAGCCCATGGACTCATGACCTGCTGCTGAAACTTTTTTTTTTTAAGATTTTATTCATTTATTTAGATAGAGTGAGGGCAATGGGGTGGGGAGGGGCAAAGGGAGAGGGAGAAAGAGAATCTTAAGCAGACTCCATGCTGAGTGAGAGCCCGATGTGGGTGGGGTTTGATTTCATGACTTTGAGATCATGACCTGAGCCGAAATCAAGAGTCAGACAATTAACCAACTGAGTCACCCAGGTGCCCCTGAAGCCAACTTTTCTGGTCCTTGACTTGATCTGTAAAAATCCAACCCTAAATATTTGCATACCTATTTGCAACCAGACTAGATGATAGTGGTTTCATTAACTGTCATCTGCATTGCAGAAACAGTCAAAATGATATTTGTAAGGGGGATGTCTTAGTTCAGGCTGCTATAACAAATTACCATAGACTGAGGGTGATGCGTCGATAATAGAAATCTATTTCTCACAGTTCTGGAGGCTGAAAGTATGAGATCAGGGTGCTGGCAGAGCTGGGTTCTGGCAAAGGTCCTTTTCTAAGCTGTAGATTGCTGACTTTTTGTATCCTTACATGGTA